CTATAGGGCCCCCCGTCGAGGAGAAAAAGCACAATTCGTTAGGAAGAAGCAAAAATTGTATGTATTTTCTACATATTAGTAGACTCTAATATCGATTAAATAAGGCTTTGAAACCCTTAATTTGTCAAAATTTAAAAACTGTCTAAACCTTTTAATCGTAGCTCGACCACACCCACTTTGCTTTCGTCGGGGAAATCTGACCCCTCGTCGTGGGCATCGGCCCCCGTCGGGCAAATCCTGGCACTACACCTGATGAACAGCCGACGCTGAAGGCACTGTTGGCGTACCATACACGAAATATTATTTCGAAATAATGGCCATATTCGACTGGTCGTTCTTCGTTAAACCACGCCCACCTGCGCAACGGTAAAATCCTACTCAACATAGAAGACGACCAGTCAAATAGAAAACTTGTAAATACTCTACAAAACAAAATGGCAGTATAATTACCGCGATACACGTTGCGTAATCAAGATTGCTTCAACTTGTGGTACAGGGGCGGATCTATAGGTTCACATTTAGGGGGTCAGACTTGTTTTCATAAAAACGCCAAAAAAGGGGGCCGGGTCCTCCCCCGGGAAAATTGTTATTCTTAGATGGGGGTAAATGAGCTTTCCATACTTCTGAGTTGTCTTTTAATGACTTTTAAGTTCTTTAAAATTCAAGGTTTTCCCCTCTTGAAAACGGTCAGGTAAACTTTCTCACTATTACGGTAAATAGGCCTATTTATGTGTGTATACGTACATAAAAAAATCGAGTTGTTTACGTATTCTTTTTTCCATGAATGGATAACCCCAAAGAGGAAGGGGGTCTCCCTCGTCAAAATTTTGATCACAAGATGGCAGGAAATGAGCTTTCACGACTTCTGAATTGACTTTTAATTACTTTTAAGTTTTTTTAATTTTAAGGTTTTCCTCCGCTTGAAAACGGTCAGGTAAACTTCCATTCTTATTATTGTAAATACTAGTAGCCCTACTATGTGTGTATGTACAGTACATAACAAAAATTGAGTCGCTGCATACATGTTCTTTTTTCAATAAATCGATGAATTCCAAATAAGACGGGGGGTCGGGGGTCATCCCCGGGGAAAATTTGGTTCTTAGATGGCGAGAAATGAGTTTTCCGGACTTCTGAAGTGTCTTAATCAAAATTCAAGGTTTCCCCTTTTGTAAACGGTCAGGTAATTTTTTTATCATTCTTATTATAGTAAATAGGCTATGTGTGTACCGGTACACAGAGAATTTTTATTTTTTATTTTTATTATATTTTTTTCCAAGGGGGGGGGGGTCAGGACCCCTAACCCCCCCCCCCCAGATCCGCCAATATGGTGGTATGGGTTTTCTTTGTAAAAAAAATATTTTCATCCAGTTTTTGAATTCTGTTAGCCTACAATTATTTTTTGAATCCATGTGGGTAAATATTATAATTTTTATGTTATAATCTAAGTTATATTAACGCAAATGTTGTTTATAAACTCACCAATCGGCCATGTTTTTTTTTTGGTCACATGGATAACTTAACGCTGATTAACGCACTCTGGATTACGTTAATTTTTTGTTGTTAACGAAGTCTATTTAACAAACCAGTCAAATGAAAATAATAATCAACGAAAATTCGTACTCAACGAAATGAACCAGTCGAATAAGCTCAATATTTCGAAATGTTATTTCGAGGGAACGAAATATTATTTCGAGGGAACGAAATATTATTTCGAGAGAACGAAATAATATTTCGAGGGAAGGAAATAATATTTAGAGGGAACGAAATAATATTTCGTTCACTCGAAATAGTTTATAATATTTTCTTTAATCATGTCCCTTTAGGGGCTCCGTAGCAGTAGCGGCGCCAGAGGGGGAACGAGCTCAAGTCCCCCTGTCGGACAACTTAGTCCCCCCAGAAAATATATCCTAGAGCCGCCACTGCTCCGTAGCGAGAAGTTCGTGCTGCTCGTGCGACCAATCGAATACGACATGTGCAGTTTGAGTAGAAAAAGAACTGCTCAAAACAGACCAGTCGAATACGCCTATTGTGCGCATACAAAAATCAGCGCAGTGTCTGCACACACACCACAGTACTCTGCTTAACTATTGTATGGGGAAACCAGTCAATTCAAGCGGATGCCACTTCGAGCGAAGTGGTGGTTCAAATGTGTCATAATTGCTACGCGTAGTACGCGTACTACACGTAGTACACGTACTACGCGTACTACACGCAGTACACGTACTACGCGTACTACACGTACTACACGTACTACGCGTACTACGTGTACTACACGTACTACGCGTACTACGCGTAGTAATTATGACACAGTTGTACCACTCACGGTAAAATTGTGTCAAAACACCACGTGTTAGCATCATGACCATCTGTTTGATTCATTTCAGTCAGCATACCGTCCTCACCACAGTGTTGAGACTGCACTACTGCGAGTTACAAACGATGTTCTCCAAGCAATGGATAAAGGAAAACTCACAGCTCTTATTCTGCTTGATCTTAGTGCAGCATTCGACACAGTTGATCACTCTGTCTTGCTGGATCGTCTAAAGCATTACATTGGTATTGAAGGCAATGCTCTGCATTGGTTTTCTTCTTATCTTTCTGGTCGGTCACAAAATGTTTGTGTTGGAAACTCCAAGTCTGATTCTTTCTTTTTGGATTATTCCGTTCCTCAGGGGTCTATTCTTGGACCACAATTGTTCACAATCTATCTGCTACCAATTCGAGAGATTGTTTCAAGGTTTAATCTCTGTCATCATATATATGCTGATGATACTCAAATTTATATATCCTTCAAACCTAAGAAGGAAGAAGTTGAAGTAAAGTTTGAGTCTCTCAAGAAGTGTATTGCTGAGCTAAGAAACTGGATGACCAAGAACTTTCTGAAACTTAACGATAAGAAGACAGAATTCATTGTTTTTGGGTCTCCTCAACAGTTGAAGAAATGTCAAGATCTCAATATTACTATCGGAGGATGTCGGATAGAACATACACCACATGTAAAAAACCTTGGTGTTTTTCTGGATTCAACGATGACCATGGGTAGACATATTTCTAAAATTACCAGCTCATCTATATTTCACTTGTTTTCACAAGCGCCTTGAGCACTTTAGTGGAGATGTGCGCTTAATAAATCTTATTATTATTATTATTAAACAAATTAGTTGTATAGCGCCATCAATTTACTGTACGTATACCGTCTAATATCTACTGACATGAACTGCATCTAACATTATTTATAATTATTTATTTTGGAAATTACACCTTTACATCGATGGAACACATAGGAATGGTGCATCTATATGAAGGCTATAATCTATAAAAGGCAAATTGGGGTTTGTGTGTCCGGGATGTTCTCCTTTGTTGCTTAGCCGATTTCAACCAAATTTTCACTGAATTTTCACATATGAAAAATTCTTGATCAGCCCCTGCTGTATGTTGAAATGTTTAAGAAACAAATACATTAAAAATACTTTTATGCCCACCCAAATAATAAAACAATGATTATTGAATAAACACAGGCTTGATCTGTAATGTACAAATATTTATGTTTATTGTTGTAATGCTTCCATTAATTGATTCTGCTAATAAGAATTATGATGATGATTTTTCTCAATTCTTTAATGACATTGATTCAGCTAACGAGAATGATGATGGTGACGACGACGACAGCTACGAACACAGACGTTCAGTTTTGATTTTAGTTCCACCATAACACCAACAATGACAACTAGAGCACCAATGTAGTAGTAAAACCTTATTTATTCACGAAGCACAAATCAACAAATATAATGCTGTTTTTCATTTTGCACTTACTAACCTAGCAGTATGTGACATTTGTGTGCAGCTGACAGGGAAGAATATAATACATTGTAAATAAAGTAATATAATGTAAATAATTAAATAAATGAAAAATAATTTAATATATTTGTAATTAATGTATAATGCAGTAATTGTTATTAAACAGTTTCTATCAATAAATGCATCACTATTATGTTCAGTTACATGTTCGTCCAAGTTTATTGAGTGTGAATTGTACTTCATGTTTTTGCAGCATCATAATTTTATAATTAAATATTCCTTGGAATAACAGTCATACAATTGTTTTTTTCTTAATTAAGCAGCTGCTGTGTTTTGTTTTAAAAAATCATGATGCTGTAAATTACATAATACTCTTTAGTTTTTTTTTTTGTACAAAACAAAATATAGACACACTACTATAACATCAGAAGTTGGTGGCCATTTTGAATATGTAATTACAACACCAATGTTCATTAATGCACAACATCTTAGAAGTAGCATGATACCATTGCTGCTGGAGAAACACCGATGTCCAAGTCTGTTTATTTATCCAAGATTTTTGTTTTGGCGGACATTTTGAAAAGTGACAGCCATTTTAATGAAAGTATTCTTGAAATAGGCAGCTGAATTTGGCATAGAATCATTCCTAGAGATCTGAAAACATGCAAAAATACTTACAACACATGATATTAATACTTTTTTTTTTTTTAAATTCTTAACGTTAACTGTTTAAAGTGAAATTTCAGGAAACTGGCGGCCGTTTTCAATATATACAATTAGCAAAGTTCGGTGATGCATAACATGCGTAACGCCATCCTCGTTCCGTTATCAAGTGATGGTTTTATAGATTTTTCATTCTTTGGGGTCCAAGCCTCAATACATTATGATATATATTGCACTATACAATAAGCTACAATAATTACTATACATTAATGCCTATACCCTATATTTACACACAACGGTCACAGATTTTGTATTGGAAAAGTGTCCTCATTTTGGTCGAAATGAATAATGTTCAAAAATCCTGAAGGCAGCGATGGCGTTCCATAGTTTCTAGTATCTTTGATTGTATGTAGCCTAGCCTAGGCCTAAATAACCCCTATAGTTTACTTTCCAAAAGAAGTACTGTTTTTATTTTCTACTAGAGGAGTTATGTCTAAAAAAACTATTGCATATTTTTACGACGCCGACGTAGGAAACTTTCATTATGGTTAGTATTATTTAATTAATCAATATTTACACGTAATTTTACCTTCCTCCTAGGCTGGCCTAGGCTAAATTAGCCTAGGCCTAGGGAGGTAGGCCTAGGGCCTAGGCCCCTAGGCCTAGACATGGTAGTTATGCCTATGCCTAATCCCAACCTAGGAAGGAGGTTAGTAGGCAGCGCCTAGCCTAGGCTGGTCTTGGATGCTAGGCAGGTACTAGAATACCAGGCCTAGCGGTCTTGAATCTGTGAACCGGTATTAATGCATTCATGCCAACATTTCGATAGTAAAAAATGGGTGTCTATATAAAACGAAGACCGTGAAATTTTCTATGGTCTTCGTTTTATAAACACCCTATATGGGTGTCTACAAAACGAAGACCGAAGACCCGATAAACGAAGACCACCAATTATTTCTCAATTATCTTATTGAAAGTATTTCAAAATCATCATAAAACAGTTGCCAAGTACATATATTTCATTATTTTATCACGATTGGGCGAAAAAAAAATGTAGGTCTTCGTTTTTCGGGTCTTCGGTCTTTGTTTTGTAGACACCCATATAGGGTGTCTAAAAAACGAAGACCCTTAATTATTTCGTCCATCCTATGTTGGTGTCACTACCAAATGACCGATGCTGCACATATGCGTCACTATATACCACATTCCTACTGTTTATTTTAACATGGAACAAGTTTATGAATGAAATATTCAAGGTTTTTGTAGGCCCCCAAAATACGCATACCGCTAGGCAAAGCCTTATTTTCGTTTAGAGGGTAGCAGCGCCAAGACGCACTCAGCCACCAGCCGTGGACGTACAACATTGGTTGCCACTTTGGAACTGGAATAAAGGGTAAATCATTCAATTGACTCAGATTCAGGCAACAATGTGCTAAGACGAATACTATATATACATAGCATGAAGTGATTTAAAAACATTATTTTCATCACAATTTAAAGAAAAAAATAATGTTTTTCTGGTCTTCAGTCTTCGTTTTGTAGACACCCATATACTGTAGGGTGTCTATAAAACGAAGACCCTTAAGTATTTCTTGATATTCCTTATTTTATTCCGATAAAATAATGAAATAGGTACTTGGCACCTGTTTTATGATGATTTTGAAATACTTTCAATATGATAATTGAGAAATAACTGGAGGTCTTCGTTTTTTGGGTCTTCGTTATAAAACGAAGACCCTTGAAAATTTCACAAACAGACGCCCAAAAAATTTCGTAATTTTGATTTTGTGACAGCCTGGCGTATTATCATCAAAATGAAAGAGAAAAAATAGGGGTCTTCGTTTTTGGGTCTTCGGTCTTCGTTTTATAGACACCCGTAAAAAATGGGAGAATATGGTGAGAAGCACCACCACCAAGCATTTAAAAAGGACCTTGTAGTCTCCCCCCCCCCCGGACCCGGGCCATAACGGGGCACTTGCCGGGACTGAGCCGGGGATGTACACATAGTTGTGTCCCCGTAGTGCCGGGACGTACCTAAAATTTACCCGTAGATGTATTAGCCTTGAAAGGGCCGGGAATTTTACATGTAGAGTAGCCAAGGTTTCAGGTGTGTAGACCTAGCCTAGTGCTGTCAGAACCGGGTCTGGTCCTACTAGCCTACACTGGCTTGGCATTCAGTCAACACTGTCTGTTTTGGTAATTAAAAAATCGCCTACCGGTACTTTAGGTCTACCATCATGGTTTCATTTTTTATATCACGGTATAAATTAAATAATAAAGATTGAACCTCCAACCTCACAACGCTGAGGACCGAGGTGGCGGCGCATGTGAGTAGTGTGAGCCAAGGCAAGGAAACCTGTTCTACTAAATTGTAATGTATTCATTTTCTTATTTAGGCCTAATTTCTGTTTTGATATTGAGTAATTAAATTCCATCAATCAGTTATTATACAATCAATCAATTATATTCTTTTTCTATGATCAATCTGTCAATCTGTCTCCTTTTTGTTCGCACTTTTCCAAACTTCCATGCTACATAGTGATACGCATGCGTAGTGCTTCCATCAAGCAAGCTTACCTACTGTACTTGGCCTAGCTCCTGCCTAGCTCACGCGTGCTTCTCTGATTTAAGCCTCAATCGCACTGGATTTATTTCAGTAAAACTAACCGTCTTGTCGGTAAGTTTGTCCGAAAAAATCCAGTGCGGATAGTCCCGCTCGGTTAACTTGACTGTCGCCGCCGGTTAGTTTTCGGGAGTGAAATTTACTCAGGAATTCCTACCGAGCTACTTTGACCGGCCTGGAAAATCCAATGCGAACAGCCACAGGTCGGTTAAATTAACCGAATCACGAGCCTCATTGTTCATTTCGGTAAGAACTAGCTAGAAAGTAAGTGCAAATCAGTGCGCGAAACAGATCAAGGGATCAGAAGGCTGTAGGTCATGTCAGTACGGGTCATGTTACGGGTCAAAATGTGCCGCCCTCAATAGTTAATTTTACACTACTCGGGAAAACTAACCGAGTTGAAAAGTCCAAGTGCGATTGACAGTAACATTTACCTTAGAAATGTTTACCGTGATGACGGTTACATATTCCCAAAATTTAATCCAGTGCGATTGAGGCTTTAGACGTAGACTAGATTTTTATACCTCCTTGCTTCAAGTAGGTCTTCTCAAGGGCTCATGATTCTTATAATGTGTATTCCAATAATACATTTATTTTTTTAACTTGTGTGTTTGATTGAATCACATTGTCTTGTGTCGGCTATGGATCTAGTTATTTCTCATGTGCTGGCCTTTTTAGGACAAGATACAAAATCTGGATTCAATACATGTCATAAAATGTGTTTTCAATGGGCTTAAATTAATACATCTGGGCTGGTATTTTAGCAACTGTAACTTTATGTCCAATTATTCAACAAAGGTCTGGTTCAACTATGTACCGTCATTTAAAAACGACTGCAGCACTCACAGAGATGCTGATACTTTTTCCGTGCACAGTATTGAAAGATAACATAAATATTGAGGTTTTTTGCGTAGTATTTTATTACAAAAAAGGGACCAGAAGGTTCACTCCTGACTGGATCCCTTTGCAGCACCCACCAGCCTTTTCCTACAGTATACATCAAATAACAATTTCAAACCTTGTAGTACACAAATTTCTGCCAGATATCTGGCAGGCCTAGGCCTAGTCTTTTGATATGCACATGAAATTTGATTTGTATTTGAGCAGATTGTGAGCTTCAACATGTTTTGATGTCTGTGTGGTGATGTTATTCTTGGCAATAATGTAAAAGAATAAGCTTTTATTACAAACATAGAAATTAGATTTTATTTCTCATAAATTCATTAATACTTTGTTGGCAATTGTGAAATCCCATTGTGTCAAAACCATCTGAAATTCTACTAATGTGTATAAAACTGAGTGGGAGCAGAGCTTGAGCTGTTGGCTGAGAGGTATTGTTCCTGCCTTGTGCTGAAGACCCATTACCTGGCCAGCATTGGGTTTAAAATTGGAGTCTGAGAGCTTGACTCCTCGAATAACCTTGATGATATTAGAGTTAGGTGGGTTAAGGACAATATTTGTATCCGTGTGTGTCTGTTATGTTGTAGTTAAGTCAGGTGGTGCTGCACTCTGGCTGCCACGTATTCCCAGGGGCCTAGCCCAAATTTCCAATTTCCAATTAGAATGAGGACCAATAAAGAATTATTTAAGAAAACAGACAAACGAATATTTTACATAAAATGGTTTCATCCTGAATGCTAATATTTTAATTTATTTACAGGTCCTGGACATCCAATGAAACCACATCGTCTGGCCTTAACACACAACCTGGTACTTAATTATGGTTTATACAAAAAATTACAGGTATGGTTTGATATATTCTTCCTTTTGCTTTTGTATCAAAGTAGTGTTATTCCAACATAGTATGTTATCTTGATACAGTTGCAAAGAAACGTAATTAGACGTTTGGCATACTGAAATTTTTATACCTCACACAGGTTCATACCAAGGATGACCAAACTTGAATTTTTCAAAATAATAATTTCATGTACATTATTAAAATTATTTCTTTTCACTGGATTGCCATCAGTAACCATAGTACTGCTTTTCAAAGTGGTTCTCCTGTTACAAAGTATACATTACTTAAAGTTAAAGTAAAGTAAACATATAGACAAAAAAGTATATCAAAAATGTATAAAGGTGAAAATGTTAACTAAATCACATTTGAATTAATATAGATGGAATTTTTGAATTCATTAATATTTTTTCGGTTGCAGTACAGTAGTTTATAATTTCAGCAGGTAAGTTGTTTTGAGGCTCTGAATTTAAAAGTTCTTTTACATAGAGTTTTTCCCAATATAGGTGTTACAGTTGAACTTGCCAAAATTGAATCCAAAATAGCATTGAAAAATTGTTTGACTTGGATAAAATTTGATTTTACTGATCTTTAATCAATGGAAAACACAACAATTTGGCATTTAAAATAAGTTCGACTTAGAAATTATTCGAGTTAGGCAAAGTTGAAAGTTTTACTTAATACTGTACTATTTTGGTATGAATCATTGAATTTAAACATTGATGATAAATAAGATGGTGTTTGACAAATACATTTTAAAAGTTTATACTAGTAGCTGTTCACTGCATCTTTCATTGTAATTGTTTAACATTGAACATGTACTCCATGTTCATAAAATTGCTATATATATTAGTACTATAGTATGAAGCCATGTCAGAAAAAGAAAAGTAGCTGTATGCCTTCAATTAGGATGACCGTAAAACTTTTCACTTTAATATACATACAGTACTGTAGAATTTTTTTGATACCTGAAATTGGCCTGTGTTATCACAAAAATTAAATAAAAATTGGGTTTTTTTTCACTGGTTTTCATTTTCTAATATTATTATTTTTTATCTTCAGGTGTATCGACCTTACAAAGCATCAGTTCATGACATGTGTCGGTTTCATTCAGAAGACTACATTGACTTCCTTCAGAAAGTCACACCTCAGAATATACAAAATTATACTAAAAGTCTAAGTCATTATAATGTTGGAGATGATTGCCCTGTTTTTCCTGGACTGTTTGACTTTTGTTCAATGTATACTGGTGCTTCATTAGAAGGGGCTTGTAAGCTCAACAATAATGTAAGTTTGTAGTTTAGGTTTCCACCAAGATCTTAGATCTTGTAGCCAGTGGCATATCAAGCGCAGGCTCCCCCCCCCCCAAACAAAAAAGCTAGCACCCCCTGCCGCGCACCATATACCCCCAATTGAACTACTCAAGCCAAAAAAATCTCGCTCGAGTAGTTAAATATCATCGCGTATTGCCTTATTTTGTAGCGCCTCCTCACTTAATCATCATGCCGACCTTTGCGCACCCTATCAGGCCCCCCCCCCAAATTTCAAGACTCCCAGATACACCGCTGCTTATAGCACAATGTGCAATTTCTGCGTACAAATTCTGTAAAAATGTAGTGTTCAATAAGTAGGACGCCCTCTCGCAAAAGCAAGTACTTTCAAAGATTTCATAAATTAAGTGGCAAACTCTTCGATTTCTGCATGCAAATTCTTTGACAATGGTAGCAATTCATTGCGCTGATTTTCTAGGGTGCCCTTTATCAAAAACAAGTACTTTTCACTTTAGGTCGGTGCTTCTAATAATTGTAAATCGTAGAATGTGCTATCTTTAGTTTATAAGATCTTTGTAAGAAATAGACAATTAGTCAGTTTTTTGTTTGGATATAAAATCAGAATGAAAAGGAAGCGGGCAGTGTTTTCTTTGGTAAACAATCTTTGCTGAAGGCAATGTGACTCACAATTAAATAAAAATAATTATATTGTAATGTATTATTCCAATTAATAAATGTCTGTAAATTTAACCTTTTGCTGATTAAATTTCATATGAAATTAAATAAAACGCATAACGGTTATTTCATGAAATATTGTTTGAAGGTTTGCATGGCGAAGTAATAATACTGCTTACGGACACCACATAGGTAGTTCTGAAAAAGAACTGTTGTTGTTGGTTAAGAAACTTGTGACATCTCGATTGAGTTGCTTCAATCACCTCAGCTATTGTTTAGGTTTCAACCAATCACCAGCAAGTCTCACCAATCAAAACATATATTTCACTGTTTTGGGATTTCCGCAGATATTATTCTCCTGAAGATGATTGCAGATTGCATCTTTCTATATCTATCTATTAATCTCTGTCTATCTGCCTGTCTGTCTATCTATCTGCTGTAAAACCTCGAATTGAAGCCCAGTGGGCTTAATCTTGAGATGAAGCCCATCTCGAATTGAAGCCCCCTCTTTAGTTTGCAAAATTAGCCTAGAAAAGAAGCCCATCTCGAACAGAAGCCCATGATTTAATGCCAGTTAAATACACTCTACGATACAGATTGATGTTACAGTACCTTATTTATTGTTTCATAGTACAAATTCACAAAATTTACAGCAATCATTTTGAAAAGAAGTCCCCCTCTTGACTTTGCCCTAAAAGAAGCCCATCTCAAAAAGGAGCCCATGTAAAGTTTGCAAATAACAAAAGCTCAGGGCTTCAATTCAAGGTTTTACAGTATCTCTCTGTCTATCTATCTAATTATACATAACCTAGTGCTGAGGCATCAGTTATTTGATTTTAAATATATATTTTTTGCAGCTGTGTGACATTGCTATTAATTGGTCAGGAGGTTTACATCATGCAAAAAAGTTTGAAGCATCTGGTTTCTGCTATGTCAATGACATTGTTATAGCTATATTAGAGTTATTAAAGTAAGTTCTGTTTTTATTTTATTTCAATTTTTATGTTGTATTAGGGATAGCAAATAGACTTAAAAACAGAAAAAAATCTTAGTACACACATTTCTTATTTATTAATTACTTTCAGTAGTTTTTCCACCCTGAAAGATCACACTTCCTTACTTGGCAGTGCACGATAGGGGAGCCGTAGGCTTGTCCTCGGTGGAAGCTACCGGAGCCTGGCAAACTGATGCCAAGGTACCTTCGTGTACCCGTTTCTGATGGCAACACTCTCTTAAAATTGGGGGTGCGCACCAATCTCTCCCCCCCCCCCCCTATCGTGTTCATGCCTTTTCATTACATAATTTTTTGGGGGTTTTTTTGTGGTATAAAAGCGCCTTGAGACAGGTTTTTCTGTGGAAGGCGCTATATAAATACATGACAATTGACAATTATTGGGCAATTTAAATAAGTTCTGTGTATGTATACTGTAAAAGAATTTAAAATACTGCAAATTTAGCACATTTTGTGCTACATTTTAGATAAAACATTTTCTTAACAATAAACACATTATTGATAATGATTTAGTGATAGTGATTGTAATAAATTGTACTCTATTATATAATTGAACTTTCAATTTTTTGTAGATACCATCCTAGAGTACTGTATATAGATATTGATATTCACCATGGCGATGGAGTTCAGGAAGCCTTTTATCTCACAGATCGTGTTATGACTGTTTCGTTTCATAAATATGGTAACCAATTCTTTCCTGGTACAGGTAGGCTTTTTCTCTATTTCATACTAGTACAGTAGCCTTTTGGGGAAAAAGAAACACAATTCTTTGGGGATAAAAAAAAATTAGATGTATTTTTTTCATTATTGTTTGACAACTGTATAATTGAAGCCTTCAAAGCCCCTAAATTTTCATAGTTTTAATATAATAATAATAATTTGTACAGTGCATAAATATTTAAAAATATCTCAATGCGCTGTAGGAGTTGATTAAAATATGAGTGGTAAAAGGTGTGTTTTATTCTAAGGGTGTGTTTGGGCGAGAACAGGAAAAATTTACATCTAGAGTTCTTATGGTATTGTGTCCGCAGGTGGTCTCCCGATTCGTGCAGAACTCGGCTTTCAAAAAACCATTAACCTCTGACGAAAGACCTAAGGAATTATGCAAATGATGAGTTTTATCAAGTTTCCCTGGATCCTTGCATCGCCCCACGCTTCAATGAAGAAACGGACATTGGCGTTGGCACACTGCATAATGTTGTTGTCTCAAAATCAAGTAATGAAATGACTGAAAAAACTACAACAATAAGCTTCATAAAGCATAGGGCCTACATTAAAAACTCCCAATAAATCGCAGATGTGCGTTTTGGGCGTATAGACCCAGAATAAACTTTTATTCGTTTGGCAATGGTAGTATAAAACAAAAAATTACTGCCATTGTTAAACGAATAATTAGCATACGATCTCGTATGCATGCGATGGACGTAGTAGCCTAGGCTACTATGTAATAGAGTAACGATTTGGATTCTAGGCTAGCCGTCCGTTGAAATATTGTATTTTATCGAGCTTTTCACTATTGTTTTTGGAATTAAACTGTAAAAAAATCAGAGACCATGAAAATTTAAACAGACTTTACTTCTGGCACGTGTTGAAACAATTAAAGAGCAATCAAAAAGGCATTACATCATAAAGAATGCTCCCTGTTGCTAAATTGCTCCTCCAAAACACTGCAATTTGCAGCGTTGGATTATCAGCGGATATCAGCAGGTGGGCCGCGTTTAACACCCGTTGGACGAGAACTGGAAATGGCTTGTGCTTGGTGCCAGAAGTCGACTGTTCTATTATTTTCGAAGGGTGTTTATTGTGGGAGAAAGAATAGGCAATTAGTCGGTTTATCCAAGTAAGTATTCACAAAGTAGACCCGGATTTATACCGTGTTAGACTCCACAAAAACTCGCCCGAACACACCCTAAGAGTAATGAAATTGATAAGCTTTAGTCTTGCTGTCGTTCAACATAAGGAAATGGTTGACTGTCCAGATCTTGATGTCAGAAATACACTTTGCGGTTTTGGGCAACATCCGACCACACCTAATTATGCTCTCATCAGGGTCATCGTACATCCCCCCCCCCCCGTTTTCTGGAATATCAGACTTCCTCCCGGGCAAATCCTGCGGCGCCAATTGTGTCTTGTGTCTATTATTACTGTATGTTTAAAAAGTCTTAAGAGTAATGAAAACCATACATAGCTTTAAAATGTATAGCTTGAACTTATATCTTAGTTGAACATTGAAAATATAAACTGTTTCACTATTAGCTCTGCTTTGTTGATTTTATTGATGGAATTCCACAAATTTACAGCTGTAACATTCGGTCATAACTTGCCTGCCTTTTCAATATTGAACAGAGCGGTAGAATACAGTCGGCAAGGGCTAGCACTAAATCGCTATCAAGATTCTTTAATGCAAATCTTCAAATATAGGCACTCGAATTATATAATTATTGATATTATTGTAAAATTCAAATTGCATGTGAAAATAAAAAATATGTGTATCAGAGAACAAGAAACATCTTTTCAACTTTCTTTTCATGTAATTTTCGATGAAAAGCATGGAATAAAGTTTATCTGTATCTGCAACATGTTCTGGTGGTCTGTTGTTAAAGTTTAGGTAAAGGTAAAGGTAGGAGAATAACCCATAACTTGCAGTGTCACTGTGCTGATTGTGTATGGACGTGGTCTGTGACTACCTAGCAGCCGTAAAGAGGTGCTTAAACTGGGCATCCATTTTAAGTCCTTATCTGAAAAGATTCTAATTCCTGAAAAGATCCTTATCTGAAAAGATCCTAATTCCGGAATAAAATTCGGTGCTGTTTACACTGGCGACTCTGGAATGCACCCGGGTTGTCCTACGCTGAATGCATCCCGCACGTCCATCCCGGAATGTCTGGCCACCCGAGTCGGACTTTTTGACGTTTACACTAACCACTATTTGGGAGATTTTAACCCAAGTATTGGAAAATCCTTGGTTACGTCCGGAATATTGCTTGGAGTGTAAAAGGAGTATTGGTTCTACCAACCAAACCCTGGAAGAAGAGCGGCTGGAACAAGCGCCGATGTTAAGGCTGTAGCTAGCAGCGCCCCCGCCTTAGCGTTCGGCCACTCGACTTGATTGACACTCCGTAAATATCTGTTGTACTGTATGTACATACAGTAATCATATGCTTAAATTGTTGTTTTGCTTGTAGGAGATATGTATGAAATAGGGATGGAAAGTGGTCGTTATTATTCTGTCAATGTACCATTGAAGGATGGGATTGATGATGCTATGTATTCAGAACTTTTCAAACCAGTCATTCAAAGTGTTATGGAGTATTACAGACCAACTTGTATAGTTTTACAAGTAAGTAACTCATTATATCCTTTATTCCTCTTTAAAATATAAAATGATACAAGGATAAAATATAAAAATAATATACAATTCCAAAAATAAATAAGTAAGGCTTACAGTTTAAAAGACATTAAACTATACAAGAGAGAAAAGCAAAAATTAAAATATAAAAAAAAAAAAAAAAAAAAAAAAAAATAAGAACAAGCTGTCAACAATTAGACCCAGGCCCAGAGTTAAAAATTCAGTAAAAGGGATCGACAGGTGTCAGTCACCTTATCTCCCAGGCTGGGCTGTATTTGGAATTCCAGATATTATTTGATTCAGTTTATCCTAGTTAAAGTAAATATAAATTAAGGATGGATGAATAGCATAATAACAAAACTTGATTATAAACAGAAAGACAGGGCAACTAAATTGTCAGAGTTTACAAAAACATGATATTTTCCAAGATATTAAAAGCATTTATATTACTACGTTCTGTTCAACATAAATTTATTAAAAAACACTACTTACAAGAAAGTCACTATGCCACATAGAACTCAGAAAGTTGTTTCAAGGAAAACCTCAAAAGTATCCTTAATGTGATTATGACATTAAATATAAATTGTACTAAAATATCCTTAACATATTTTTTTTCCAAGTGTGGTGCAGATTCACTTGGCTGTGATAGACTAGGCTGTTTCAACCTCAGTATCAAAGGTCATGGAGAGTGTGTAAATTACATCAAATCATTCAATCTACCTTTGCTAGTTCTTGGTGGTGGAGGTTACACTGTCAAAAATGTTGCAAGGTGTTGGTAAGTTTTTATTTCATCATACTGTATATTATATATGAGCTGAACAAGTGGCAAAGAGGTATTTTTCTCACTTTTTTAAACTCAGTGATTGATTATAGTAACAAATGGTGTACATATGTCATAGCAAGCATAGCCCTTAAACAAAGTTGTTAAAATTTAATGAAATGTAATATACGATAGGCCTCCATGGTCTAACTTTATTATGCTTGCCTTAAATATGTACCAAAATGTGGATAGCTGTTGTAACTATTCAAAAATAATGGACAATACTTCATATTTACTTTGAACAAGTAAACTCAATGTGTATTCAAGAGATATATTTAACCGTTTATTGTTTTGTATAACCACAAATTATGTACCTGGCTCACTTGATTTATTATCGTGTCTAATCAATATTATGTATTAACTAAACATAAGTAATGTATACATTATGTTTTACAGGACTTATGAAACTGCTCTGCTACTAGATGAGGAAATCAATAATGAGCTTCCATACAATGGTAAGTTAAAAATCATATTTGACACTCATACACTATTAAATTTAATTTTGTATATTTGTATAGAGTACTACAGTGTTACGTCACGATACCACGTGATACTACTCCGTTGATATCGTTGCAAAATGCATTCAACCTGACGCCATTTTTGCCACTGACAAGCAACTGATCCCAATTTCTAACCTAATTATTTAGATGTTGTATCTTACTTTTTCTTTGTAAATTTTAATTGATAATTAAAATATAATGCGAGCTTTTGTGTTTTTAGTACATTTTAATGGTAAAATATTAGATTTTAAAATGCCTATTTCAGAAAGCCTGTGCAGTCATTCAGGCGTAATGAAAGGTAACCTACGTCTGTTGACAACAGAGAGCGCCACCTAGCGTCATGACGACACGAGTGTGGTACTCTATAGGAGGTGAAAATCGCTTAATATTTAAAAGCAGGACTTTTTCTCACGACCAAAAATAACTCCACTCCCTAAGCCTCATTAAGAGACTTGGTTTATAAAGCATCGTTCCATCATGTAAGTGGCGAGTATACTTGCTGTTGGATGTAAAGGAAATTTAACCAAAATATTATCATTCACTCAATTACTTTTTTGTAGATTACTTTGAGTATTTTGGAACAGATTTCACACTCCACCCTGACACAACTACACGGATAGAAAATAGCAATTCTAGAGCAGTAAGTTCACCTGTTTTTATCTCCATGATAATTTCACAAAAATAACCTTAAACCGTAATCCAGACAATTCAAACAGACAGTATATGCTCATCATTGTCATTATACTTCCTATTGATAATTATATAAAATGAAATTTACTTACAAAATCTATGGTTTATATAGTACATAGATCAAGTAAGGCAGTCGGTTCAGGACAATCTGAAGTGTTTACAGCATGCTCCAAGTGTTCAGATGCAGCATGTTCCAAACAGTATACTTAGTCTAGAAACAACAGAAGAACCAGACCCTGATTCTAGAAACAATCAAGTAGAGCAAGACAACAGGTACCTATTTTTAATCAGAATATCAGTCAGTATTATATAACTGAATTATGTTCATTTAATGTAGGTGTTGCAGGATATAAATAAATAAGAATATTTACAATTGACACAATTTGCAAACTTAAAAATACAGTAGTGATAGAGTGAAACTCATGCTCAATTGCTTTCAACTTTAACATTATCAACTGTAACATTACTGTTTGGCTATGCTTCAGTGCGCTGGCCGTCTTACCCTTTCAGACAGAGCAAGGCTGTAACTACTACCGCAGTATTACGGCAACAATACTAGGCTGCTTGATGATCTAAAGTAAGCTGGAATATTGGCGTCTCGACCCTTTCAGAAATAAACCCATGCTAGTGTGCTTACCACAATATTGCGGTATTGCAGCTCTTTCTGAAAGGTGTTTTGTAGTGCCTAATCCAGCTTCTGATGTATAAAGCCTTGTGACTATGGTTGCAGATACGGTCAGAATGCCAACCACATTGTAGAAGTGGTTTAGCGCAGTGGGAACGGTTTGGTTTCCCAACCTCGAGGTCGGGGTTTCAATCCTCTCGCTGTGCATTTCGCTTGTGTCCTTGGGCAAGGCACTTTATCTACATTGCTTCTCTCCACCCAGGAGTATGAATGGGTACCTGGTAGGGTTTATTGCCAAAATGCACTGATGTTGCTGCTGCAACTTTATGGAACAGTTTGTGTTCTATAGGTGTCTAATCCAATGACCGGTGGTAGTAATGTGAAGCGCTTAGAGGCCTTGTTGGCATTAAGCGCTATATAAATATAACATATTATTATTATTGTGTGTATCTGCTACTACATATAGTGTGTGTGTGTGTGTTTGATATTTGCTCAATATCCAGTATGCAATGTTCAATCAAATAATCAGTTGTTAATTTATCATTCTTAGTTTTCTTATCAGTCTTTTTGTGTAATGTTTTTGTTCAAGCCTTTAAATCAATATCATAGCTTTCTTTAGGACCATAAATGATATGTAAATCTAAAACTAGTTTATTTCTTCAGATGGTTTATAGCTTTATTTAACACTTTATAGTATTTTGTGAATTAAACATTTTTTTTCTTTTTGTACCCTACAGGATTGATGCAGCCAATGAATTTTACGATGGTGACAAAGACCAAGATAAAGAAGATGGTGTTTTAGATGTATGATGATAAACTCAACGATTACTAGTAACATTCTGTATCAAAGTGCCCACATCATTCACTCATCTTGTACCTGGATTATTTTTATCTTTTTTAAAATTATTTATGGCCACATCATTTATTCATTTGCATCTGGATTATTTTTGAACATTTTTTTTTATTTACTTTTATTGTCATCCAGTGGGCCAGTAACTGTATGGAACACACTAAAAGGCAAGACACTTTTTATTCCTTGTTTTTTGTACTTATTTTTCATCGGAGGAATAAAAATAAAAATGAGAGGAGAAAATAAAAATTAATTTTATTGGTGAATGTAAAATAGGATGGTTAAATACTTCAGATTTATATAATTATAAAGAAATTTACATACCTTATCTTTGGAGATTTCAGGGCAGCAGAGGGTGTAATAAAAATAAAGATAATTTTTTTTTTAATTTCCACATTTTCGTGACTGCGGGTGCGCTAATTGGTCAAAAATAAAATTTTATTTTTATTCGAAATCATCAATTTGCAGTCAGCGGGTTCGCTAAACAAGGTATAAAAAGTCTTGCCTAAGCCGTCAGGAGTAGAAGTGTTTTAGTTGTGAGAAATTTCTGGGGTTTTAGAAGGCTTGAACCCAGAACCATGCGATTGAAATTCAAACATCCTAACCACTAAACAGCTCCATTCCATTTATTAACTGTTTTACTGTTTTTGGTACAGCTTCATTTACAATCTATTAAACATGGTTTACTTTTCTGTTATTTGTTCAGTAAACATTGAGGTGTAGTATACCAGAATTTAATTGATGCCATTTTGAAAATGGAACAGTACAGTATACCTAAATTCTGCAAAAAAAAATTGAAGTAATTTGATTTCAGCCAATTTGTGTATCAAGATACATGAAAAAAAGCAAAGTGGGATAGGGGATTATGGAGATTGCCTTTTCAGGGATTATTGGTCATTCACCCTTGCATAAAACATTAAAAATTGTACCACTGCAGCGAATTATCATATAGATCTTCTTGTCAATTGCACATTTTACAAGAAATAGAACCAAATCCTGACCTTCAACTTTAAAAAAAAATTACACTCATCACTTTCAGGATGGAACAAAATTTAATAAACCAAGTCTCTTATTGAGGCCTAGGGAGTGGAGTTGATTTAGTGGTGAGAAAAAGTCCTGCTGTGACAGGACCTTAGGATTAGAAAGCAAACATCTTAACTACTTAGTTAATCAACTTCACTCCACCCTTCATTGAGGTCAGATTGCAAAAATGTTAGAAATTGTGGCTTTATCCTTTATTAACCATATCATTTTGAGGCTGTTTTCAAGTGGTTGAGTGTAGTACAAATATGTTCATTTAAAACCAAATTTGATTGATCAGAAATGTTCATTACAGCTTAAAACATACTGTAACTACAGTTAAGTCAAACACAAATCAGAAACCAAATGAGATTTCTTCTCCATCAGTTCTTCTGTAGGTGCTCCACTGTACAGTGCCCACAACACATTCCACATAGATTCATCTCCATTTCTTTACAGTTGCAGCAAGTGCCTTTCAGCACACCACATTACGGCACCATTGGTCATCATTTGCGGTCCAAGTATTTTGTTGTAATCTAGCTCCAATCTTCTTACATTCGATCAATAATGGAGGCGTTTAGATGTGTTTATTCATTTTTTTAAGATGTAGGTGCTGTTGCGTTTTCCTTTGGCAATAGGCAGTCAAGTTTATTTTACCACTAGCTGCTTGTTTCTTAAACAAAATAACCCTTTTTCAAGGACAGTATCCCACAACCATTATGATTTGCTTTTAAACTAGCAGTTTTCGAATTGTGAATTCAGTTTGGATTTGGGAAACCCAGAAGAACCCATTCCAGTGGGGTCTTTCTGGTGTTGCATTGAGCAGTACACTGGTAGTTAATCCCTTACTCTTTTCCAAACTGAATGAATAGCTGTCTACAATGTTTAATTATGAGGCTTGTAGCCCTTGATCTAAAAACTTCTGTAGCTTCTCTTTATTTTTGTTTTGAGTGCTTATTGACTAAGTACCCTTTTGTATATATTTATTAGTCTAAATTTATTTAAAAACTTTTGACCCTTTTAAATTAAATTTAGCCCAGTGAATCATTTTTAAAACAGAAATAATAATGCATTATTTTTGTCAACTTTAAAGGTCAAGATTTGAGTCTAAGTCTGATGTATTATTTTTGTCTTATAATAGTATGATTTTGTGCATATTGACACTAGGACCAACCATATACCATCTTTGTTGCAGAGATACAATTTATTGTGTTTTAGGTGGGTCAATGAACTTTAACCCCAAAAAGGCAATTTCTACATTCATTTTTTTTACTCTTAAATTAAGAAATGGTATATCTAGATACCATTGATACTGTTGATCTCAGTTTCTTGTGGATCATTTTAAGTGCCACATAAAGCACTATTAAATCAAAATTATAACATGACCTCAAATTTAAAGGCCAAGGCTTTTCACTATGGTTATAGTTTATTTTACTATAGGGTCATAGTTTTTTTTCTAGTATAAGTTAGTTTACTTAAAAAAAAAATTCAACCATATACAGTACCATATTATTTTGCTGGGATATAATTTATAGTGTTTTTATTGACCTTCATGCCGTCGAAAAGTCAATTTCGCCACTCATATCCCTTATTTTTACGAACGGCATAATTTTAATTTTAACCTCACAGATCAAAATAGCTAATGTACATTAAGGTTTTATTTCGAAAAAGCAGTGAATTCGACTTCCATCTTTGGTGGAAATAGAATTCACTACTTCTTCTCAAACCATGTTTGTATAATCCTTACCTACACAATGAAAGTGAAATCACAGCCTTTTTCTAATCTCTTTTGTATATTTGCTCTAAATTTTGTTAATTTGTTTACCAACAGCCTAACATAGATGTTAAATGTACATATCCTGTAGTGTGTAAAGCAAGTGGATTATACGGTGTAAAATAATAAATCTGTTAAAATATTCACTATGTTTTAGACTTGTGTCTTTAAGACTTTACTATTTTTTTCTGGCTATTTGTTTTAAATTTACATTTAGATTTACATGTTTAAAATGTTATTTATTTATTACAAGAAACTTTTGTAGGTTAAGTCACATAACGATTTAAAGTTTAAAAATGCAATGAAGTGCTTTGTAGCAGAGGTATTGTTACAGTGCTGATTACTTACAAGCAAAAGCATTTACATTTAAAGAATAGCATAACAGTTATGACAATCATCAGATATAGGACAGTAAATAAAAATGGAAAATATTTTAACTAAATGAACATGAAAAATACTGTAATGTATACACTGTATATCACAAGACCAACAATGCTCACTGAATTATTTTGTTAGTATTTAAACATAATAAAAATAATATAAAGAAGTTCATAGATTTTCCTATAATTCACAATAAAACTTATTTTTTAATTTATGTAAAACACCCCAATAAGCAAAGAATACATACTAATAATTGGCATTTGGACTGTACGTTGTGTAATGCAGAATTAAATATTCTTAAATTCCCTACAAAAACGGTGTGTTTTAAGCAAATATTTACTGAGAAAATGCAGTTCATCTTTCTGCAATGGGCCTAGCTCGCGTCGCTCGAGTTCACTGGGAATCTATGGTAAGTGTATCTCCGTGGTCAGATCAAGTATTGATTAAAGAGTTCTATGAAAAATAGATAAAATAAAAATTATACAAATCAAATACTGTATTCAGTGTCTAAAGAAAAAGGCGTTCCGACAAGACTTCTTATCCAATCAAATTGATTTTTAGCTTAACAGACAGCTTGATTATTCTATTTTTAAGTAAAGAAACATCTGTTACAATCGGCCCACGCTTTCAGAAATGATTTTTGTAAAACAGGATCGCAAAATGACCTTTCTTTAAAAAAAAAAAAAAGAAGACAAGCCACTGACTATATAGCCTAACATTACATTATAACTGAATAAATAAGGAACACGTTGCAAAAAGAGCCAGAAAAATCAGGCCAATCTGGAGCGGAGCAGAATTTGGCAGTAGGGGGTGCGTGCACAAATTTAAGGAAATATTACCTGTAGATGGCCGGATATGACACTTTTATATAGTAAAATTCATCATCACATCACTATTATATAGTCAAAAGTATCGGCGATTTTCGGCAACCAGAGATATTTAATTAGTATGTGTAATGTACACATAAAACTTAAAAACATTCTCTTTGTTGTATTTACTTTACCTACTTCAAAGCCATGAGTCCAAAACCACCTCAGCCCCACCATGGTTGGGGCCGAAGTGAGAAAATATGAGGAAATATTACCTTTAGATGGCCGGAAATGACACTTTTATTCAGTAAAACTCACCAATCACATAACCATTATAATTATAGTTAGAGTGCTCTAATTATAGTCAAAATGAAGCGCCAACTCATGCAGGGCCGTAGCCACCGGTACGGTTGGTCAGGTTTCAACCTGACCACTTTTTGACAGACCACAAGTAAAATAATTAGGTTTTGAATAGGAAAAAAGGTGCTAAATTCCACCTGTATGTTTAGACTCAACCTACTCTCTCTTTGACATAACTCAGGAACCGTTAATGATACATTATTTTCTTCTCTTAGTGTAAAATTTATAATGACTGATTAAGAAAATAGAATGCATTTTTTCTTCAGTTGAAATTTAGTGTCTAGTGGGCTTAACTTTTTATCAAAATCAAGTACCGTACTCGCGCGAATAAGCGCCCGGGCGCTTAAAATATTTTTTTTGCACTTTCTGAAGGGCGCTTATTCAAACGGGGCGCTTATGAAAACAGAGTGGAAATTGAGGGGGCGCTTATGGAAATAGATGAAAATCGAAGGGTTCTTATGGGAAATTATTTTCAAGAGGTACTTTTTGAAAGATAAAAGATTGTATAAGGACATTACGAATGGTGGTTAGGCGGAAAAAATAACGAGAACATGGCTCATGAATATTTACATAACAGCAAAATAGCAGATGCAATTAGTGGTGGTGGGTAGTGGTTAGCATGTTGGCCATCGGCTCGATTGAGATTAGCAGGATAGGATCATTGTATTTAAAAAAAAAACTCAGATGAGAATGTGCTAAAGGTCGGAAAAAGAAAAAGAGGAGTAGGACTAGGTATAGACAAATATGTAAAAAGAGTAAAGTCCTCATTTTGATATTGACCTAAGAAGAATGTGTTTCCACTCTGCAGCTCAAATCATGCTAACAACCACAGTCCCAGGATTAATTTGATTATTGACTTGCTAAAAAGAAAATCTTCTGATTCAAA